AAACCACATTGGGAAAGGCTGCATTCTCTTTCTCTTAGAGACTCATGATATTTGTTAGGGTTGTAAAGGCTCTGAGAAGTCCTGCAGTAAGGAAAGCTATTTAATGCCACATTTCTTATTAGAATGCGAAACTTTGGGAAGAGTGGCTTGGTCAGGGAGAAATCTGGCTTGGGAATCGGGGAGGCCTCGGTTAGCTTAAAACGTCTGTGAAGCCTCTTCCTGATTGCATGACCTTGGCCAAGTCTTATCTCCTCTCTGGCCCTTCATTTGAGGTTGATGTATAGAATGCATTTGGCCTGGTATCCGAGACAGAGTGCTGTATGCTTCTGTTGTAGATGGGAAAAGACAGGCAGGGCAAGATGCTGTGAGAATCCTGGGATGGGAGCCTTTCCCTGCAAGGCTGACTCATGGTCATCTTTTGAAGCCTTGAGGGCCAGGCATACACATGGGATCAGATGGGGAACATAACATTATGGCTACTCATCATTATTATTACAGTAGTCTGCTGGAGCTGGTTCTCACTTGCAAGCTTGTGAGAGCCCATGGTACGCTCCTTTTCCCAACACCATGTTCTGCCACCTCGAAATCAGCCACCGTGGGAGTTACACCAGGGAAATCAGCAAATGCTACAAACCAGGCTCTCCCCTCCCCTAGCCAATTGTTAATTATCAGCACATCACTGATTAGATATCATTAGAAAGTATTTCTTTAAAATTAGTCTCCTTTTATATTTGCAAATTTCTTATTTAAAACTGGACCTGACTACTTTAAAGATTTCTATTTTTGGATTCTGAAAAGCATTTTTCCTATTGTATTTCATAATCTATTCCCGACAGAGTTACTAGCCAGAGCTTCCTAACAAAACACCACCTTGTGACAACTCCCTAAATTGCAGGTTGGAGTTCAGTGGGGTCAGCCGAGACTGAAGCCCATGGCATTTTCACTGATGGGCATTTTAGATGCTTCCTCTGGCCTATCCTTTCAAGTTCTCTATGTGCCCCTAGGGGCATGGTTGATGGAGGCAAAAGCTCTGGCGCCTTGGGTCTGTGCTTCTCAGACTTCAGTGTGCACGCGCTCTCCCTGGAAATCTTGTTCACATGCAGCTTCTGATTCAACAGGTCTGGTGTGGGTCCTGCGATCTTGTATTTCTATGGAGCTCTGAGATGCTGCTGCTTGTCTGTGAATTACACTTTAGTAGCCGGGGTTAGTGGGGGAAAGAGAAAGGAACCCTCCCAGAGCTTCTCTTAGGAGATTGCCAGGGGCCATGTTTTGCCTTTTGGTAAGAATTCAATAGCTGTGTGTTTTGAATCCATAGACTTATTAGCTCATTTGATTCTAAATATTGTTCTGCCAACTTGTTGATTTAATTTTTAAATTTTAATATATTTTTTACTTATTTGGAATTTATTCTGGTGTAGTGTAAGTTCAAAGCCAACCTGATTTTTCCTTGAATAGCTAACCTATTCGTCTCAACATAATTCATTGATTGCCCCCTCTTTCCACAAATTTGTGAGACCTCCTCATATATGAATTTTCTTATATAGCCTAGGGATTGCTTCCAGACTATTTTATGTTGCAGGGTTGTTGTAGCTTTATAACATATTTATAACATGTATTTTTATAACATGTATGTTATAACATGTAACATATTAATTAGTCCAATGAAGCCAGTCTTCCTTTAGTAGTCTTTCTTGAGTGTTATCACCTAATCATGCAGATGAACTTTAATATCATTTTGTCAATAATAAAAGCATTATTGGGATTTTGATTGAAGTATATTAAATCTACATATTAATTTGAAAAGAATGAACGTTTCAGGAACATAGTATGTTTTTCTTTTCATGTCAGTCACTTTTTATAGCTTTTAGTAGAATTTTACGTTCTTGGCATAGTATCACACTTTTTGTATCAAGGTTATTCCTAGATATGTGTTGCTTTTTGCTGCTATTTTAAATATAATTTATTTTATTTTATATTATATTATGTATACCATATACAATTTTAGTTTATATTGTTTATATTGTATTCATAATATAGCCATTAGCCACATGTAGCAATTTAAATTTTAATTACAATAAAACAAAACGTAAAATTCAGTTCCTCAGTTACACCAGCCACATTTCGAGTGCCCAGTAACCACATGTAGTTATTGGCTACCATATTGCAGAAATGGCTACCACCATTGCAGAAAATATTATTGCACAGTGGTGTAGTGCTAATCGTTGATCCATCGTTTTTTCTTATGTGTTGTGACAGTATCTTATTTTATTTGGGAACACTTTCCAATCTGTTCTTTTCGATTTCTAAGGAGAGCAGTTGCTTTTATATCAGACCTCTGATTTCTCTTCTACAGCAGTATCACCCCGATTCTCTTCCTAAAGATGAAAGCAGGGACCTCGAACACACCCTGGAGGGTTGCCACTCCCACACTTGCCCACGGCAGACATCACGAACCAATCCCAGCACTCTTTGCTGTTCCCTGAACTATTCTTGTTTTTGAAACTTACATCTTAGAGCTCTGCTCTTCTCTGGCTCCAGAGATGGACTAGGATGCAGTGGCAGGCCACGAGGTGTCTTCCCCATGTGTGCTCTCCAGGGGAGGGCTCTGATTCCACCTCCTGTGAGTAGTTCTCCGATCATCTTTCCAACATGGCCCTCCATGGTGCCATTGTGGGGGGGTCCTGTCTTTTCCGTTATTCTCATTGGCTGTATCTGAAGAGGACATCTTTTTCAGCCCACTTCCTTCCCCATAGAAGGTTGGGGGCCCAAGGATCATTTGGGGTCATTTTAAGTCTCAAAGAGTTGCAGTCTCCTGCAGGCCGTTCTAGTGGCTCTTCTGACACATGCTTTTCTGAAATGTTAGTCGTCTTCCTGTTTGATTCAGCTGCAGGTGGGGGAGCCACACCACGGTTGTTTTCTAGACATGCCTCTCTCTCTCTGGACTTAGTTGCTGGCACCTGGCATTTGCTAGGCCTCTCTGAGGGAACCTTGCTTTTGGTCTCCTGTCCCTCCCCATTCTTCTCCCACTGAAAGCATGTATTGGGCACCATCTTGACTGGTCCTTGCAATAAGGTTGAGTGGTTTATTTTTTCTCACACAGACTTCTTGTATAATTTACATACTGTATAATTCACCATTGTAAGTGTACAATTCAGTGATTTTAGTAAATTCATAGTTGTGCAACCATCACCACAATTAAATTATAGAACATTTCCACCACCGGGAAGAGCTCCCTTGTGCTCATTGATAGCCAAATCTCAGTCCTGCCCCCAACCCTAGCAATCACTAATTTTTCTAGCTCTATAAATTAGCCTTTTCTAGACATTTAATATAAATGGAATCATGTAATATGTAGTCTATCGCATCTAGCCTCTTTCACTTAGCATGATGTTTTTGAGACTCATACATGTTGTAGTCAATACATATATGTGTCATACATGTGCCAATAGTTTGTTCTTTTTAATTGCTAAATAGTTGACTATTTTATAGATATACCACATTTTGTTTATGTGTTCAACAGCTGATAGACATTTGTGTTGTTTTCAAGTTTGGGGCTATTATGAATAAGGTTGCTATAAACATTTGAGTTTATGTCTTTGTGTGAACATATCTTTTCATTTCTCTTGGGAAGATTTCCTAGGAGTGGAATTGCTGGATCATATGATTATATTTAACTTTTTAGGAAACTTTGAGATTTTAAGATTATGTTTTTAAGATCATGTTCAACTTTTTAGGAAACTGCCAAATGATTTTCCATAGGTAGTATACCATCTTATCTTCCAACTAGCAATGGGTGAGAGTTCCCATTTCTCTTCACCACAAAGCTAAGTTTTAATTAGCCTCTGTTACTCAAAGGCCCTCTCAGTTTTTCTTTTATTGCTTAGTGATGAGAATAGGTTAGCTCTTCTTGAATTTCTGGACTCTCTCCACGCCTTGTCATTCCCATTATAAATTGCCCAATTCTCTATGAAACCCTTTTCTTTCTTGTAGTACCTTATCAAACACAGCTAATAGCAACTAAGGCGTGCTATTAACATTCTGACTCTCAATCTCTTCACTTAAAGCCATAGCTCATTCGGTTTATCATCTGCTTTCCAAGTGAATACAGGCCAATATTTTTACCAGGTACCCCATCACTGCATAACATAGTTCACCTCCTTCCAGGCTTCAGTAACAGTTTCCTTGACACTCACTGCCTTGCCCAAACACAATGGATTTTTGTTATAGCAGCATACTACTTCTGATAGCAATTTCCGTATTTGTCAGGATAAACACATTTGTCTGTGTTCTAGTAACAAATAGCCCCAAATCTCAGAGACTTGTAAAACTAGCAGGTTTTATTCTCCTCATTCATGCTACATATCCATCCTGGTCAGCCATACCTTTGCTCCCCATCCTATTTACCCTAGAACTCAGAGTGAGAGAGTCGCCCCTATCTAGAACATTGCTTGTCTTTTGGGAAAGGGAAAAGAGGACGTGTGAATCGTGCACTAACTCTTAAAGCTTTCTCTCACATTTATTTATCAGAGCAGGTGAAGTAGCCGATTCTGACATTAATGGGGCAAAGAAATATAATCTTCCCCCAGGGAAGGGCAGCAAATATTGTGAACAGTAGTATCATTTATCACATTATGCTTTTCTTTTATATCCTGGGGACTCTGGAGAAGAAAGAAACAGCTATCTCTATGTGGTGGTTTTGCCCAGAGCTGCTTACAGCTCGAGTAAGACAGGGTGCCCTTTCAAAATACCTTACAGACCTAGGCCTTGATCATCATGGTGGTTGGCTCCAGCCCTGTGGCTCTGGTACACAGAACTATTATACGCCATTCTTCTGTCTCTACCAGCCTGATGTGTTAGGTTCAGGGAGAGATTTGATTGGATGGATTGTCATTTCTAGAGTTTGCTACCCAACATCTAATGTCCTTCGGGGCATTAATAAATCCATCTTTTTCCCTGATCTCCAGCCTAAATGGATCCATTTATGTTTTTTTTCTCTGCAGCTGTCTTTTGGGGAGACATTGCCTTAGATGAAGAGGACCTGAAGTTATTTCACGTCGACAAAGCCGGAGACTGGATCAAGCAGTCAGCAGAGGAAGGGGAACATAGCACAGGTAAGGACTGTGTCCCCCATTTTTCTTTCTCTGGGGGGGAGGGGTCAGGGACTCCGGCAAGTGTGGGTGTGGACCACGAGACATCAGTGTTTGACCTGTCTGTCTGTGGAAAACCAGAGGCCTCACTCTTTCTGCACTGCAGGCTGCGGAGCTGGAGCGTCCAGGGTTGCCGATCCTTGTAAGAAAATCTCCATTTGCCTCTTTTTTTTTTTTTTAAAGATTTTATTTATTTATTTGAGAGAGAGAGAATGAGAGAGAGAGCACATGAGAGGGGGGAGGGTCAGAGGGAGAAGCAGACTCCCTGCTGAGCTGGGAGCCCGATGTGGGACTCGATCCCGGGACTCCAGGATCATGACCTGAGCCGAAGGCAGTCGCTCAACCAACTGAGCCACCCAGGCGCCCTCCATTTGCCTCTTTATCTGAAGGTTCAGGCTGCAACTCAGAAGGTTCAGACTTGAGCTCAGCGTGGGTTCTCAGGACGTTGGCCCCTGGGTGGGCCCCGCACGTCCCAGACTAGAGAGAATTCCTCCGTGGGCTCCCTCTCGGGCATGTCTGTCGATGATGCTAAGAACGCTCAGCACTGGGAAAGATGTCTGCTCCCGGGGCGCTGTGCACTGGTTTTGCAGTCAAACCAGGAAACACGATGGGGCTTCAGACTTGGATTACTCTTCTCCCTCCTTGCCTCCACCTGGGGGGAATAGTAGTGGGACTAGTCTCTTGAGTTCTCCGCCCCCGCCCCGCCCCGGGCTCAGACGCCTCAGCTCTGGGGAATCCCTATTCTTAGCAGCAGCAAAGGGGCTGCCCTGTGAGGCGGCTGGGCCGGTGCGACTCACCTTGGCTGGCTATTTGGTGACCAGGGCTCACATGTGCCTGAGGCTACATTGCCCCTGCTACCTGCCGCCCCTCCCCACACCCTCTTTTCCTTTCTTTGGAGACTTTTAAAAACTTACTGTGCTAAGAACGCAAAAGCTTTGCTCTCTTAACAAATTTTTAAGTCCACAAATAGTATTATAAACTATAGGCTCAGGGTGGTGTGGCAGGTCTCCAGAACGTATTGCTCTTGCGTAACTGAGCTTTGTACCCTTTTTTGGGGCACCTGTCGTGACCAAGTGCAGTGCTGGAAAAAGAGGAGTAAGATGGGACCCCTGCCTTCAGGGAGACCATTCCTGCCAGGCAGACACGGTTTAGACCTGGGCAAGCTCTTTATCATCTCCAAGGTTTAGTTTTCCTATCTGCAAAATGGGGATGAAACCATCCCTCATGCCACAGGGGTTTGGGAGGATCAAGTCCCAGGGTAATGGGCTAGCCTGGTGCCTGGCACATAGCAAGTTCTCAGGCAATGACAGATATTATCACTGAGGTGCTCCTCTCTAGTGGAACAAGACTGACAGGTGAAGAGATAAACTGCAGTTCCTCACGGCAAGGGCTGTAATGAACCAAGAGAAGTGGGAAGAGAGAAGAGTGAGGGGAAGAAGCCTACATAGGGGAGCCAGGAAAGCCATTGTGGGAATGGACACCCTTGCATCGTGTCTTGAAGGATGAGAATGAATCCTTGAAGTAAAGAATTGAGAAAACACATTTCAGGCAGTGGGGAAGCCACACGGGGAGTATGAGAGGGCCTGTCTTTACTTGGGGAGCCTCGGAAAGGTGCGAGTCACTGGAGGGTGGCTCTTTGGGGTAGGCTGTGATAGAGAGATGCACCCGCCGAGGTTGGTGGGGGTAGATGGTGAGGGTGCCTGTTAGAGGGGTGGGTGGGAATGTGCCCAGAGTAAGGGGGCAGCTCCCATGGCTCATGAGGAATATGAGCAGCTCCAGGGACCGGGCCAAGTCCAAGCACCCCCCAGGGGCTGGGGGATGAGGGGAGAGCAAGAGGGCAAAGGTTGTCAGGAGGTCAGAGGGACCCCACTGCCAAAGGTTGGGAGGAAGGAGGAACAGTTTAGCCCTTTAGAGCTTCGTTTTGGTGTCTGGTTCTATAACTATAATTTCTTAGGAGTTTTGAGGCCTCTCGTGTGTGGTTTGAATAGTCTGTTTGAATTCTAAATGTTTTTTTACAAGCCAAATTATTTTTCACACCAATATATATGACCTTAATTGAGCTCTAACAAAAGGAAGCATCTCTTCATAATTCTACCACTCCAACTAACCAGTTCTTACCTGGAGGCCTAGAGAAGTTGACCTGATTGTAATCTCTGTGTGGTTAAAATTTTTAAAACTTTTTTTTTTGCAATATTACTTAAAAATTGCAAACTTCACATATCTCCAATATACAGGATGATGGAACTTCTACGTATGTCCACATAAACCCCACCCAGACCAAGGCATGGAACATTTCCGGAACCACAGACACTCCTTTGTGCCCCCTTCTAGTCAATACCCATCCCACAGCAGCCACAGACTCATTTACCTGCAGAAATAGCATCACACAGCATGTATTCTTTGTGTCTATCTTATTTCACTCAGCTTTTTGACCTTGTTGAGTGAAGTAGTTCGCTCTCTCTCGTTGTGTGGTATTCTCTCGTGTGATCAAATGCTAGCGTGGTCATCCTTCTATTGACAGACATTTAGACCGTTCAGTTTTGGGCTATGATCAATAAAGCTGCTACTGATGTTCTTATACATACCTTTTGGTGGACACAAACACTCATTTCCACTGGGCAACCAGGAGTGGGATTGCTGGGTCATAAGCTACGTAAGTTCAGCTTTAGTAAATACTGTCTGTTCTCCAAAGAAGTTGCACCAATTTGCATTCTGTGTGGGTGCGTACTGATTTGGAAGGCAGGAATGGTGTCCATGCAAGATCCAATGAGGACTTCGGGGGCTGGGGCATGGTCTCTCTGGCTTGGGGACCCTTCTCCCATACTCTGGACCAGCACAGCAGTGAGTTGGTGCTCATCCACCAACACGAACGTTCAGGGTCACCCCAATCAGTGATCCTTGTGTTGTCCTTGGGGGACCTGCCATGGCACAGCATGGGGCTTGGCAGATGTGAGTGGGAGACCCCTGAGAGAGGCTGGGAGTGGCCAGCCACCATGCCAGCTGTAGGCCAGCTCCTGGAGAGTCACATGCCCAGAAGGTTGCCTCAGGATGCTGCAATGAAGGGAAGCCTAGCAGCCCTGCCTTCTCCTCCCTCCTGGCACTCCCCCAAGGCCAACATGGTCAGCCTCTGGTCTAAGAACTTGAGTCTTCTCTTTCCTTCCTCCCTGTGAACTAGGAGAGGACAGAGACCACATCATATTTGTCTTTGGATCCCTTTGGAGGTGACCCAGTCTCCTGTATGTACAAGGCACTGGCCAACGTGGGTGGAGAGGAAGAAGGAAGGGGTTGGTGGAGATTGGCAGAGCCTGGAACCATCTCCTATGGGCCTAAACGATCAAGGGCTCCAACAGGGCTTTGCTTCCAGAAGAGTGGTTAAAGCACTGGTTATAGTCACGGGTTTTAGGATCAGACTGTCTGGGTTTGGATCCTTGAGCTGGGCCTCAGTTTCTTCATCTATCAAAAGGGAATAGTGATGTTATAAGGACAAAAAGAATACATATCAAGTGCTTAGCACAGTGCCTGGCTAATAATAAGTGCTCAATAAATATCAGCTCTGCCACCTCCTCATTATTCTTAGTAGTAGTATCTGCCGAAAGCACTGACCTGGGAGGGTTTAGGCTAATGTGGAGAACAGGGGAAATTTGCTGTGTGATGGAGGGAACATTGGTAGCTTGGGTTTGAGGCCTTTGAAACATATACCTACGTGGTATTTCCTCCTTCCCAAGCTCAGAATGTTGTTGTTTTTTTTCTTTTTTTTTCCTGGTGTGCTTTTATGGCAAAGTGATTTTTATCCTGATCACTTTTCTCTGTGGGCCAATAGTACTTGGCATCTATCTAGAATAGTTATTTTATTTTCAGAATGGGAATATTTTTATTGTTTTTGCTGATGAAACTAATACTGCCAGCTGTTAAAAAAAAAAAAAAGTCCAATAACTCAAAATTGGACAAAGTAGAAAGTAAAAATCTCCTGTTCTCCCAGCCCCAGGGATCGGTGTCATTATCTGTTTGCTGGATTCCTTCCAGCCTCACTGGGCTCAGGCTGTGAGCATACAGATATTTTTAAAACATAGGAGGGATTTTTCTCAACACCTTCTTGTGCAATCTGCATCTTTCTGTTAACACCACCTCATAGACATCTTTTCATGCAGTACATTGTAGTCTATCACACTTAATGCCCAACTCTGTCATAATTCATCAAACGAATCCCATACAGGTGGACATGAAGAGTGTTTCCCTTTTCTTCCTGTAATTTTTTCCTTTTAGAAACAATGGTGCTATGAACAACTTTGTGCATTGATTCTTAAACATTTGCTTTGGTTAAAATAAATAAATAAAAAGGAACCACATCTTTACTCCATCTTCCTGCTTCCAAATGTGTGAAAGGATGTATTCTTAGATTTAGGTTATGTCATTTCCAAGCTTTGGTTAGTGCCCCTGTGTTTTAGGGGAGGGAAGGAAGTTCAAGGAGGGGGCGCTGAATCCCTGGAGGGGAATCAGAGTGGGGAGGGCACAGACCCCTGAAGTGTAGCCCCAGCGGCCTTCTTTCCCTGGTTCCTCCTGTGAGTTTGGAGCTGCTTTCTTGGCTGCAGAATGAAACAATATCATTGCCCTAGATGTGTCCAAAGTCCTAAATTCAGTGAGTGGGAAGACCAGGACTAGAACCAGCTTTCCCAGCTCCCATGTGGTCCTCTGCTAGACCAACCTGCCTGCCATGTTGCCAGTTAGAAGGAACAGAGAACAGCAGAGGTGCGTGTAATCATTCCTTTGCCATCCCTTGGAAGGTAGGCTGCAGCCTCTCTGGGCCAAAGGGTGAGCAAAGGGTTGTGCCTGGGTTGGTTTGTGAGCCCACATGGGGTGCTGCACTGGCCACAGAAAAAAGCTGCTGGGACCCCAAGCAGGGAGCATCCTCATCATTCACTTAGAGGAATCAGTCTCCCTGCCTCTAGTCCCTCCTTCCCCATCCT